TTGTAAATAATACCCAAGATTATAAAATCAAACATCTCAGTTGGATTATTTTGTTTGCTTTGATTTGGAATGATCCTATTAAAAATCTGGAGCATTAACTTGAATTGTTATATAAATATATTTTAAATAAAGTGATAAAATAGGGGAAGTAACAAGGAAAAAAGCCACATCTAAATCTGTTTACTGAAGAAATTTGCTAAGTTTTCTTGAAGTACCTGAATGGAAGACCAGAATTATTGTTATGGCATTGATGGAGGTATGGTTTTTTTTTTTTAGACTGAAGGAATTATTTTGAAATAGGTCACTCTGCACAACTTGAATTATCAGGGATATTTAAATAGTTATCTGGGTCGAAGCTGTTGTAATCTTCATCTAACTAAAAACAACATAAAACAATCTGATTAACTTCAGTGGAAGTATTAAACTGTGTGCTTAATGTCTTTCATTTCAAAGTTTGTTGGATTGCAGTTAATAACATAATCATAGTTTTCTTGATTTGGCTCCTGAACATCTGTACCCAGGCTGGGAAAAGCTGAAGTTCAAAGACATAGTAACTATAAATGGAGCAGATGGAAGCATTGTCACATTATGTTAAGCAGTAATTTGTGTAATAATGGTTTATTGAATGAAGCACAATTGATTAGGTTTACACATGGTGAGCTATAAATCTTGTATATATACTGCAATGGCTGGATTCACATACAAAGCCAGATCTTTTTATGGCTAAAAGTGATATGTAAATTTACCCACATATTCCCTAAGGTATTTTGTAATGTAGATATTAGACATTCCTTCCACAGCAGTATAACTGTTATCATGACCAGTCATACTCCAAAAATTGTCCTGCTGGCTTGATTATTCAATTATCTTTTAATGTTATATACATTTAGTGGCTTCCTCTTGTTAGATCATATTCATGTGGATCTATTAAGGTTTGCCATATATTTTAAAAATAGAATGTGCAAAAACTCAGCAAAAGAAACCTGTTGTGTAAAATAGAAAAATTGGTGAGGGGGCAGTCGCATCATTTTTACAAAATATTAATTTATAAGCTGCTGAAAATATTTAAAAATGATCACTCCCAATAAGACAGGAACTTTGAAAACAGGATGGGGGGTTTGCCTGAAAAGACACTCCAAGATCCCAATAGGATTTGAGAAAAAAGCAAGATAGATGTTTCTGAGCTTTAAAGGGAAAACATCCACTGGGTAATAAAATGGCATATATGGATGGTAAAGAGGAAAAGAACTCTCAAACTAGTGAGAGTCCTTGAAGGTGAAAAGGCTGGAAAGAGATAAGGAAATGGAGAAAAAAGTTTCTATTGATTATTCTGTCAAAACCTGGCAATGTGAATCTTATTGACAGGCATCTGTACTTTTCAGCATAATGGCATTTGTGCTTAGTGAAAGCTAACTCAGATCAGCTAGAGACAAATGAATAGAATAACAGAGTTGGAAGTGATCTTATAGGTCTAGTCCAACTCCCTGCTCAAGCAGGAGACCCTATACCATTTCTGACAAGTGGCTGTCCAGTCTCTTCTTGAAAGCCTCCAGTGATGAAGCACCCACAAATTCTGGAGGCAAGCTGTTCCATTGGTTGATTGTTCTGTCAGAAAATTTCTCCTTATTTCTAGGTTGGATGTGTCCTTGATCAGTTTCCATCCATTATTCCTTGTCTGAGGAAATGAGGAAACCCATAGTTGTAATTGGTTCCTGTATGTGAAATGTCAACATTTGTTAAATTGAAAGAATCTGGAATGTAAAGCATCATTTTGCATGCGGAAAACCCTAAATTCAATATTCTTGCTTTCCAGTGTGACTGGGAATTTGAGTGAAACTAGGAAAAATTACTCTTGATATTGAACTGAGCCATAAAATGATTAAATTCTATTGCTAAATAGCTGGATGTTTCGTAGTAGATTATTATGGGCATTCCAAATCATTATGATTTTTTTTAAAAAAAAATAGTTTGTTTCAGGTTATTTTTGATACGCTCAGTAGTTTTAAACCACTAGTTTCCCATATTTGTAAAATATTAGTATAAATGGGATGCAGTGACAAAGTCCATTAATCTAGTAATTTGGCCCCATATTGAAGCTGAATAGATAAGAAATCATCTTTTCATTCCTGAATGCTTTTCTACACAATATTTTTTACCTAGTAAATAGTAACTAGTGCCTGTAATAGCCCTTAGAAAAGTGGCTTCAGCCATCAAGTTATTTTCTGATTTATGATACTGCTGGTGGAACATTTGCCTGACTGGGCAAAGCAAACTCTTCCTCCTACACAATTTGTAAAGTAAGTCCTCTTTTGATAAAATGCCAAAATGCCCTTTTCAAACCATCCAGTTTGCATGTATTCTGAAATTTGCTCAAACAGGTTAATATGAAACTAATTTAATTAGCCTGGTTTTATTTTTATTTAGAATTCTGTATATATGCTTGACTTCTTCCCTTGTTTTTCTATTTTCTTCTTTCAATAAACTCCATTTAGATGCTGTAGTGAATGTCCTTCAAGGTTGAACAAGGCTTTATCTTCTGATCATCAGTTGTTGCTGTTTTTGAAATCCTGTGTGTTTGTTTTTACAAGAAAGAACTTGGAAGTATGAAGATTTATGTATTTATTTATGGCTGCCTATCTAGTATAATGACCCTAGGTGGTTTACAGAAATAAATAAAAACTTGGAGAAAAACAAAACTATCCTCCCCCCCCCACTAGACCAAACAACCTCCCAACTCAACCTTCATCCCATTCCAATGCTTGGGACAGAGCCAAATCTTCATGGCCTTCTAGAAGCCTCAAAGGATAGGGAACCCTGGGACATCAAGTGGGAGGCTATTGCAAAGAGCTGGAGTGGCACCTGAGAAGCCATGCTTCTGAGGTCCCATCAGGTGACATTTAAGAAAGGGAACCTGAGGACACCCACCCTAACCTAGTAAGACAGGCAGATATCTTCACGGAGAGGAAATTCCACAGATTTTGTAATGCAATATTGAATATTGTACAACTTAAATTTACATTTACAGATACATAAGTCTCTAACTCATATAAGTGAGCATAAAAATAATAATTATTAGATTCTGTGTAAATCAAACTCTCCATCATTGGCCTGAATTCCAGGAATATTATGATTGTTCCCAAAAAATAAGCCAGCAACTTTCCAGCTTTCTCTCCTGATTGCTGTTATTTCTGGTTATTTCCTGCATATTAGGAAACATTCCAATTGTTCCATGGGCAGAAGCACCAATTTCAGCTTTGTTACTATAAATGCTTGATATGATTCATTTGTGGGTTTCTGGCACATAATAAAAATGAATCCTAAGCCTTATTTTTCAACTGTAAAAGTTGAGAGTCTGAGTCTCTTTTATTGTTAAGATGAGAGCACTAATAGATTTCCAGAAGGATGCCTTAAATGTGTCCCAGAGGACTGATGTATTGGCAGAACCTTTATTTTTTTAAAAAACAAGAATGTTTTTTTAAAAACATTTTTTTAATAACAAGAATATCTTAGAATAAGAGAATTTCTTAGAAGAGGAATATTCAGATACCAGCTAGAATTGGCTGACTTATGTTTGTAATGTTATAAGAGTAATGGAAGCATGATCTGAGATTGCAGTGGGATCTATTAAAGAATTGATAACTTGATCCACCAAAGCAGATTTTTTTTAAAAAAATCTAAAACTATTTTGATTTGTATGTGAAAAAATGTATACTTTTTTTTAGATTTTAAAAAGGCTAAATGTCTATTAACATAAAGTGCAATATATATATTTATATCTTCCAATTTTGACAAAACCTTTCTTAAATGCTTTTATCTGAGAACCTTGAATTAAGAATCTTGAAATTTACAGCACAAATTATATATTGATAGTTTGCAGAATACAATTTAGAGAAACAGCAAGGAAAAATAGTTTTAGAATTTCTTAATGGGACATAACAGTTAATAAGAGCAAAAAGGTCTGTTGGTCAGTTAAAGGTTATATTTTTTCCATCTTGTTGATTTATCTTTAAGATCTAAGTTCATTTTTATTCCAACTAACTACTTTAAATATATACAGAGAAAATATTTTTCAATACCAGTTTCTTGTGTTAGAGGCATCATGCATTCCAATAAATGAGATTTCTGGTAGGTAGCAATGGAAATGGTTTTCAGTATAACATATACACTAGTATTAGGCAGAAAAAAATGGCAACTTCCCCTCTCAGTCATTATTTAAAAAATGAAAATAATTTCAGAGAGCTTCACATGAGCAATGATTTGTATTCTTGCACTGACGTCATTGCAAGCTAGCCAAGAGATGCATATGGATATCCTGTCTTCTATGTTTTCCTTAGTTCTCTGTGACTCCCAGTTTACTTATAGACCAGGGGTGTCAAACTGGAGGCCTGTGGGCTGGATGCGTCACGCACAGGCTACACCACTAATGGCGAAACTTTTAGAAACCAAGTGCCCAAAAACTGGCTCTGCCCCCGCTCCACCCCCTGCCCTGCCCCCGCTCCACCCCACCCCGCCTGCCCACAGGGCAACTCACTGCCTCCAGGGCCCGCCGCAGATTGCCCAGGCAGCCCAGCAGCGCCATGGTGGCCATGCCCTCTGCCCACCCCCCGCATCAACTGTGCGCATTGGGGTGTGAGGGCAGAGTCTTATCTATGCTGCCTGGCTGCCATGTCCTTGGCTGTGCTGCTGGTGAGGAGGGGGTCACGGGTGGAAGTAAGATTGGGGCAACGGCACATGTGCCCACAGAGAGGGCCCCGAGTGCCGCCTCATGCCATAGGTTCGCCACAACCCTGGCTCCACAAAGGCAAAAAACTTAATGATACATCACAATATGTCACTTGATGTGATTGAGTTTGACACCCGTGTTATAGACTATAATAATACTTTACTACCTGGCTTTTTTGAGTAGCAGAGTAAGAGATTTTCTTTTTTTCTACAGCAGAGGAAGAATCAGAGCTACTTAAAAGGGAAAAAATTCTGGCGAGTTTATTTCAGTTGTCACATTGTTTAAATATTATGCTAAGTGTTATAGTGTCTTTTTCTGCAAATAGCAAGTAGTCACTTGACATTTATCTAAAGAAATTTAGAGAACATCCAGAAGAGAACAGTCACATTGACTCAAGGGAAGATAAACTATCCATTACAGGATTTTTTTAATGGATTAAATTAAAATTACAACTGCTCTTTCCTTTCTGCTAAAAACACTATATTGAAAATTTGTTAATTTTCTCTAGAGTCCAGAGAGTGGTTTAGTTATCAATTATCTCAACTACCAAATAGGCGAACCATTATCTTAAACAAGTTTATTCAAAAAGTCCCCAAATATTAAAGTAGATAGATTGAAATACATTAAGAATTCATTATCATAATCCTACCCTTCCCACTTTAATGCTTTTAAGAGATGCTCTGTTTTGATTCTGTTTCTTCACTTCTTATATGTTTCTAGCCTTACAATCTCTTTTTCAAAATGGGGCAGCTTTGCACAATCCCAAGATGAAATGTTAGCCCAATGTCCATCCTTGTACATTTGATATTAATCACTTATACCATAAATAGAATTACCAGTTACATATTTATGGCTACAATTTCTTTAAAAATGCAGCTTGCTTTATAACCTATAACATTTTTAGGGGTATAATTTGTCCCAAGGTTTTAGTTCTTTCCTTTGATTTTTTTTAAAATCAATTTTCTATGAAGCACTGATTCAGATACTTTCACTTTGGACTACATAATACCAGCATAAATATAAATAAATATTCTTATTTAATCAACAGGCATATTAGTTCCAATATGTTTTCCTCCATTACTGTACATTTATGTATGCATGATTGGCTTGCCAACTAAATTCTGTTGTTCAGTGTAAGTCAGTGATTAGAATTCTAAATCTCAAAGGGTGCATATTTGCTATTTTGATAAAGAAACACATTCCTCTTACTTGTTCTAGAAATACTTAGTATAGGTAGGTATGTACATATGGAGTTCACACCATAGAAAAGTAACAGAATAGACATGTCGTAAAGAATTCTTTGGGGAGAAATTGAGGGGGAGGAGAATGTGTGTCATCATAAGATTTTTCTCAATGTTCCTTTGCTACTGTACAAGAAAATGTTAATGAGAGGTTTTTTTCAGCAGGAAAACATTTTTTTCCATATATGAAGGACTTGTTGAAACTGTTGTTTCTTTGTGGGCCAAGTTCATTTCTCATGTGGTGGCTTGTAGTCACTCTGTCTGGGGCAACAGACAATTAACAATGGTTAATATTTGAAAGGTACAATATGTTCTGTGTAACCAGGCTGCTCATTTCCTTTTCCTAATAGCTTGATTGCTCTTGCCGGTTTCTGAAGATTTTTATTTACCTAATTAGACCACAAAAAACAATGTCATTAATATTCAAACTCTGACACATTTTGAAAGTAGAAACAAAAGTTAAGCCTTAGTAAACTATTAACTGTTCACTTTTTAAAGGTCAAAGTATTTGATTAGAGCATCATAGGAGCATTACATCCTTGACTTCTAAAAAATTTAGACAAATGCACAGTTCAGGTTATAGACACCCATGTACCCCTTAACACTTCATCAAATACTCCATTCTAATCCTTTCAAAGAGTAAGCTTTGTCCAAAGAGCAATTCCCTAATCTTCTCCTGCAACGATTTTTAATTGTTCTGAAAATCTCTGGGCAGAGATTTTTTTTTTTGTACAGAGTGGAACTTGGAAGATTGTGTTTACTATTAATACAGATGATTAAGTTATGGTTCTTTATCATGACTTGCTATTTTCAAAAGATTTAAGGAGGGTAACCTAAATTTAATTTATTAGAAAAAACACAACTTTTCATTTATTTATATTTTGGGCTTTGAATATATGGTGATGAAGCCAGTTTGCTGGAGATGGTTCTTTTGGATTTTTTTGAACGGGGCTCTTTGAAGATGCAAAATAGGCTCATTGAATATTGTTAGAACTTAAGGAATCAGTTTTGTTTTGTTTTGTTTTTTAAAAAAATTTGAAAAATCACACAACTAAAAGTCAGTGCTACCAGCAAAATATGACATACATCATCAAAAAGAAAAATATTATCTATCCCTGCTATATACATTTATTTTCAGATAAGACCTGCAAAATCACTAGCATTTATAACACACATAGTATTTTATCATTAATCAGTAAACTCTTTTGATTGATTGATTCATCAATTAAATCTGCCTAAGTTCTCATGAGACAAAATAGCACTAAAGAAAAAACATGTTCTATTCCATCGACCATATTTTTTTAAAAGGCATTCCCCATTTCTTTGCTTATTATAAATAATGTTACAAAATGAAGCCCTATAAATAGCAGGCCATGAGGTGAAATAATTAAACCCATGAGCTTTTAAATAATTAGAGTAATTGTTCTTGGAGGACTTCAATGTCAGTAACAAATTACTTATACTTATCTAGGAAAAGACTCAAAGAAAATTATAGTTATTCTAGTAACTTTTAGGTTGAGTTTATTTAGAGTAGGTGAAACATTTATAGACAAAATTGTACATGGTTATTTATGTTTAAAGTTCTTGCCTGTCTCTGATGATTACAGGATTAGTTAATATATCACCATTCTTTATAAGTGTCCCTGTTTACAATAAGGAAAAGAAAAATTTGATAATGCTACTTTTGTAGATCAGATGACTATGATATTTTAAGCAAGTAAGGTTTTAAGAATTAAATGACAAAAAGAATCTTGCTTATATTTTCCAGAAGATTCTTGCTAATTAAAAGACATTCTCCTAATTGGTACCCTTTTAAGAACAACATAAAAGCATCAGAGCTTCTGATGAGCAGCCATGGCAAACTGACATCCCTCTAGAACAGGAGTGTCAAACTGCTGGCCCGTGGGCTGGATGCATCATCCGGAAGCCACGCCCACCCCATTGCCGGCAATGGCAAAACTGTCCCGATACGTTGCGCGACGTCACGTGACGTTGCGAGTTTGATATGTCTGCTCTAGAATATAGAGAAAAACTGTTGCTTAAAACAGCACTTGAATGTGGGATTCAGACTACTGAAATCTCCCTGGAAAAAAGGATAGATTTTAAGATTATCCATGTGTACCCTGACAGCTGTTTTTTTTTTGTGAGCATGTGGCAGGAATTGCATTTTTGCAGGGCTCTTGCAACTGATTAGGAGTTGCAGGATTCCATCATTATTATAGCCACTAATATTGCCTTTATTTGTTGCCTATATAATCATTAAGGCTTAACTTTTTAATACTTTGGATATTTTTTTTGCTGTTTCTTAAAGATTGGGAAACTTTAGATTGCTAAGTTTTATTGAAATCATTGGGTTAGTGTTCTTCAAACCTTTAATAAAAGTATAACTGCAAGTTTAAAGATTTGTAACACTTTTGAATATACAGCAAAAGGATAATTAGTTTAGACTTTAGAAAGTTTTAAACAGATTAAGGACTCAGATAGACTTGATTTAAGACTTTGAAATTAATTGAAAGGATACTTTCCCATGGACAAATGTTTATGTTTTGAAATAACTGAAGACTTTGTAGGATAGACATGTGAGAATACTACTGTAGATGGTTGCTTGAAAAGAGATCTTTGAAGATTCTCTTTTAGGAACATAGGAAGTTTTAAAGTTATTTACAAGTATAGAAGAATCAGAATAAAAATGTTACTGAAGAGGAACAAGCCCTACTGAATAAAATTAAATTGGCTTCCAGGTGGATTAAAAAAGTGATAGCTTACAAGAAAGAGATGGAAATAATGGATTTACAAATTAAAGTGGTCGTTATTTTTGACAATGGCCAATGGTTTTTTTTTTTACTGGAACTAGATGATGATGTCTAAAGACTTTGTTTATTTGAAGACAGGATATGGGGGATATGTTTAGAGATGGATATAAATATAAAAGGAAGGATTTCAATTGGGTTTATTAGATATAGTTTTAATAGTTATGTCCATTCCCAATGGACTCTTGATGGATTTTTACTGATTAATATGGAAAGACAGGTTTTAGAGATGGGTTTATAGACAATAGAGTAAGGTATTGGATGAAGGGTTATTTGGTTTTACTTTAAGAGATGTTGATTATAGTTTCTGGGGATGAAGTGGGATTCTTCTTTTTTTCTCCTTTTATTAAAAAAACTCTTTTTCTGCATTTTTTAATTTTTAAAAATATTTTTTCTATATTATGTAGACTATATTAGAGTTACAGTATTTGTATAATTTAATTTTCAATAAAATTATTGAAAAAAAGGAACAGCACAAGGACCACTCAGTGGTTTATTTGCCCAACCTGACTTACTTTGATGCCCCTACTTAAGAAAATTGCTGGTAATAGGAAATTGCTGCCACATGTTATTCAAAATAATGAATATTTCTTTCTTGATATGAGAGACTCTTATAACAAATAATTGCCTTTTCCTCTTCCCAGAGACATCCTAATGATTAGGAAGGTAGGCTAATTATAACTGGTAATTAAATAACTACTGCTGGTAAACTTGAATCAAGAGACATAAATTTTTTGGGGGGGGATTGTTGTAAATTTAGCTTTTAAAATATTTTCATAAAGGAACATCTTCATTAATTTTTACTACTGTATATCACATGAATAATTGAAGGCATATGGGAGTTCCAGGTTAGGAAATTGATTTAGTACAAAAATATCACTTTCTTGCGGTAATTTTCAAAATAGTATTGCTAAGTATTGTGCCCTAATAGGTACCCGCTAGCTGGCAGTATCACAAAAAATTCAGAAACTTGCTCTGCTTGTTAAAGATTGGCAATTTTATATGTATCTCACAGAATAACATTTTCATACAGGTTATTGAGAGAGATGAGGTGGTTTTGCTAAATTGTATCATGTTATGGTCTAGGTCAGAAATATCCAATTTGTAGCCCCTAAAATCTTACACATTACCCTCCAGAAGTTATCACAAAAAAGGGCTATGTATACAAGAGTAACATTATTAAATATATGACAGTTTATACTGTAAATATTAAAACTATATTAAATGTTTTCCCCACTGCTATGCATGTTATTCAAATAGCACATATGGTTATTTACTCAAAAGATGTACATAATTGGCCTAGTGTAGTTTGTACTTGGACTTTGAAGATGGAAGTTTAATATGAAAAAATATGAAGAAGCCCCATATTATATTACAGGAAGAAGTGGTAATATTTAGAGCCTAATGGTCACATTACAAAACCTACTATTAAATACGAGAAAAAGCCATGCTTTGCATCAGTCACATTATAAAGTGTTTTATTAAAAAATGGAGCAAGCATTTTTCTCGTTTTGCACTCTACCGAACAAATGGTTTTGACAACATTATACAAAATTTGCAGTTCACTAAGCAGATAATATTGCAACCAGATGTTGATATTACAGACTAAGCTATTGTTGGCTATAGCTTAATGCAGCCAACAATAGGTTAGTCTATAATATTAGTGCAACTTTGGATGATGGTCATCTTGCTAATCTGAGGGGGGAAAGTTTATAACTACCTTTTATTCCAAGTACAAATGTAGTAAGATATATATTCATGTACTACAACAAATTTTTAGTGCAGCATAATCAAATGATTCAGTGTGCTTTTTAAACTGAAAGAGGGAGGAATAGGTGTTTGTTTCTTCTACAAATCATGAATTCAGCCACATGACTCATCTAAGACAGAAATTGAAGAGGTATATAGAAACACATCCCTATCACACAAACAAACATGAATGTACTGCATTCCTTTTATTAGCAATAAGCGGGACTTTAGGAATGTTATATTTTTGAAGGCTATCTATTCCTAACTACTTACAAGGCTTCAAAAAACCAAAAATGATACCTTTACATAGTTTTATGTTTATATTCCAAATATATAAATATGAAAATAGAAAACATCCAAAAAGACATGTCCAGTAAGGTGAACCAATTGTGAAGAAATCATTGTTCTAGATTAATTTTTATGATCCATACAAAGACTAGCAGAATGGTCTAAAGTAATTGAAAGCACTCATCATATGTGGGATTTGTAAAAAAAATAATCAACATTTAGATGAAATGCTAAGAATAAATCACTCTACAGACACATTTTATAATTTCCTGGTTCCATTTTTTAAAACCATTTTTTCATTAATATTAAAAAAGGAGAATTTTAAGCAGTTGAAAAACAAAGCATTGAACAGAAACTGGCCATAAATTAGGAGACATTTTATATCTGCCTTTTTCCTTCATTTTGCCATTCTATCTCTTAAGCAAGCCTGAGGATGCTCAGAGTAATAATACATACCATGTTTCCCCAAAAGTAAGACCTATCCCGAAAATAAGCCCTAACTTGATTTTTGGGGATGGGCCTAATAGAAGCCCTACTCCAAAAATAAGCCCTAGTTTTGGGGTGAGGCGGGGGTGGAGGAGTGGAGCTGCCCCACATGCCATTCATCCACTTACCTTGCAGCCAGGCCTCTCTTCGCCAGCCCACTTCTTCTGCGGGGTCCCCAGGCCTGCATTTCACAGTCAGAGGCCTTTCCGGAAGGCTGCTGCAGCCGAGAACCGAGCTATGGATTCAATCCATACCTCGGTTCTACAAGGCTTCTGCAGCCGAGATTGAGCTATGCATTAGCTCAGTTCTCAGCTGCAGTGGCATTCCGGAAAGGCCTTTAACTGAAAAATGCAGGCCGGAGCTCCGTTCTCAGCTGCAGAATGAAGCTGCTTCTTCAGCCATAGAAGTGGGCCGGCTGGATGGGGCTGTCAGTGCCAGAGGTGAGTGGAAAAGACCCCCCCCCCAAATATAAGACCTGGTGCCTCTTTTGGAGGCAAAAATAAATAAATAAGACTAGATCTTATTTTCGGAGAAACACGGTATATATATTGGAAAATGGGCCCTACCATTTTGCAAGACAATCCCTGCAGAAGCTTTAAATGCCATACTACCTGCAGCAGCCTGTCCCTTTTCCTGCCTCAAAGAGGATGACAGCTTTAATGTTTTGACAGCAATGTGAGGAACAAAAGAGAACATGAAGTAGTAGGCAGTGGCATATAGCTCGGTTGGAGTTTACTTATTTAAAAATCCTCAGCTTACAGATGCTTTAGCACTTTTTTGAACTCTGTGGAACTTTTTGTGATGCAAATGCTCTCTGAAATAATTTCTTGTGCTAACATGCTCTACTCTGTTGTTTAATGATTCATCTTTCCACCAATCTGGATACTCAATACAGGTGAAACTATAAACAATAAACACAGTAAAGCTTATCATCAAGAGGCTGGAAAAGCTTCAGTAGAAATTCTGTAGCATTAACAGAAGCATCAAGCAGTTTCTGAGCTTTTCTGTTTTCTTGTTCTATCTCTTTAAAAAGAAAGTGATTTCTTTGCAAAATAAAAGCATGAAATATGATCCAGTTATTTTTTTCTCTTCTCCAAAATTGTTTATATATAGCCAGTTTGAATGGATCAGGCAGTAGAAAGTCCAGGAAGACGTGCTGATCCTTCCTGACTGCTATGGCAGCCAAGGAAACTAGGCTGGTTGAAGTAGTATGTGGAAAGAGACAGCAGGCTTGAAGATGTTCAGATTTTTAAAACAAACGAAAAATAAGATTCTAAGATGAAAAATAACAGTGTTTGCTAGGAAAGGAGCATGAATCACATAAAGCTTTTGTAGGCTTTCTAAGGAAACTCTACTCTTCCTAAATTAAAAAGAAAAGGGATGGCTATCTTAAATGTTTATATGCTACTGTTTCCCAAAACAGCCATTGGGGAAAGGTGCTACATAAAATGAGTTCTATAACGGATATGGGCAAATTCGTGAGGATGCCCCAGAGGCTAGAAAGCAAACCAAGAAGCAAATCACGAATTGGCTTCCTGGAAAATATTTGCGTTGTGATTGTTCATATAAAGTTGTTCCTATCTATCCATGCATCCATAAAGCACCTTTTCCTTTCGATTTTTGGCTGCCATAGATTTCTCATTTATCCAGTTTCGTTTTGTATTATTTTCCTTGAAATTGTGAATACATTTTAGCAATGTGTCACTCTCTACACCCACAAATATTTTCTGGGACTATTCCTCAAATGACCATTTAAATTTTTATAATAATCTTATTGGGGAAAAAATATTAGAGGATAATGGAGCCTAGTGGGATGTAAGAGAGGTCTCAGCAGGCACAATGACATGGATAAATGCTTTTTATATCTATGCCCTGGTTCAATGAATTCCTTGATCCTCACGTGTTTATTTCACCTTTTCCACAATCTTTTATTATAGTCTGAGCACATAAAAAGATACTTAGTTTTCAAAAGCTTTGTAAGAAATCCTTTTTCTTCCTAGTTCTTGAAACTTTTTAAAGTCCAACAAGTTGCATCGTTCCTGCTTCTGTCTTAAATATGGCAACCTCATCTTTTTTATGAGGTTAAGGAATGCCACCTATTTATAGGAAATATCATCAGTTAGGGAAGATATAGCTTCTGTACAGGTGCAGAATTACATAGAGATTTGGGCTATGCTAATTATGTCAGGAATAATTAAATATCAGAACACAGAGGATACTGGATACTCAGAAATAAATATATATATATAATTTTAGCAATGATTTGTTAAAAAATCTTACAAGTAAAATCTTACAGACACTTTTTATTTGTGGGATTCATGTCATTAAGTACTACTTTTTACTTCATTTTCCTGAGAAGAGATTAATAAGTATTCACCAGCATTTATGTTGTTTCTTCTCCCAGTGTGACCGAATGTAATACTTTCCCTTGGTTCTTTAAGCACTCTTTTAATTTATCTTCAGTCAAAGTCAGGCGCTGTTCCAAGATTGAAACAGTCTGTTAAGAGAGAAAATAATGAATCCTATTAGATGCTCGCTAAACATATATTACATTATTTGTTCTTAATCATTCAAGAAATCAGAACTGCAGCAATTGATCAAATAATCTTAACTTTTCTAAATAGATTAGGAAGCCCGAAATATTATTTCCCTAAAGACTCTTTATTATCATGTCATAAATTCAGAAACCTGCAATACAGAAATTTAATGCCTCATATTCTTATAATTAAAAAAATACTAGAGAGGAGCAATAAAATCTGGCATGTATACTGGTATGGCAGGATGATTTGTGGCATACATAGTCAAATGTAAATTATAAATTATAATTACCGAAATGCAAGTGAACTATATTCTTTTATCTTAGACAATTCTGGAAATGAAATTTCTGAAAAGCTAGTTCTTTCCACCTTAAGTTGAGAACCAAATAATAACAATTGGTACTGTGTAATATTAGATTCACCCACCAGGGATTTTTGAGATTCTCCTGCTACCTGCAGGATTTGTGGACTGCAGCTTAAGAAATGGGCAATTCTCTCCATCCTCTCTATATGCACTTGGAAGAGATACCCATTTAAGGCATGATGTTCTTTGGATTTGAACATATGGATATAATTTTTTGAAATATTTATATGAAGCTTTATATCTTTTTTGAAATAAACAGCATATTTTTTTCAATATGTCAATGAAACCCATTTCTAATTAATTGACTAGGGTGCAAATCCCTTAAAAATGATTTTCTAGGAAGCATTATTGAAAAGTTTAATCCATTTATGTCTTACATTCCACCAATAAGTCTGTCAAAGAACCTGGGTCACATCATGACAGAGATTAAAAGTACTTTCTTCTAAGAAGACTATATTTTTATAGGCTTTCTGTTGTTACATTTATCATTTATAGTAAGCTTCTTCCAACAACTAGAATCAAAAATAGAGAGATAACTATATAAGCTTTTCTATCTGAGGCACTGAGCCTTGGACAGAATATATTTATAGTTATGCTTCTCCTTCTCTAATATGAATTAGTGTCCCAATCCTCAAAGGGGCAGTGGTAACAACATTAAGTTCTCTCATACAGTACTCCATTTAAAATTGTATTGTAGAGAAAACATATATTGAATATAAACAGTAACTTTTCTTATGATAAAGAATTCTTGGAATCTTGACACTTTTACAACTATTGTGTAAATCTTCAGTCTTAATGGGGATTTTTGCTCTCCCCATCCATTGTCAATGGATGCTGCTTTTGCAGATAAATGACTGAACTCTAAGACACCTTCAAAATAGGCTCCTTGGAGAAAAATAATAATATGCAGACAAAGTATCATATCAAAATATAAAAAAGATAACACAATCTCATTCAAAAAGACTCCTTCACATAATAGGACACCTGACTGTGTCTATCATCCAGTCTACCCATCTCCATTTGCTATAGTCAATCATGCATTTGTTTAAATGGATGGTTGGATATGTTGCAAACCCAGGTTGAGCTGTAATTGGAAGACAGACTACTGCCTTAATACTTACCAGATTGCCTTAAATTGCATTGAGGAACACGTTTGCACTATAGTCAGAATTGCTGCTCAGGGATACAATTAACTGAGATACCTAACATTCTTGATCCCATTCTGGTCCTTTCCATTATCAGCAACTCAGTTAGGTTACTTAGGTTAGAAATAAGATACTCTCTGTAGTGCCCACATTTACAAATGAGACAAAGGCAACCTTGAGTCTCAACCTCTGGGAAAGAAGTGCTGGGCGTTTTTGGTGAGAATCAAATCTTGGCCTAGCTTCCAAACAATGTAAATTATTTCTCAATGTCACTGGTTGTCCAACATAACTGACAGCAGCAAGGTAAACACAAGTACTGACTTACTGGCTGTTCCAAAGTCCCACAGGCCCATGACATGCAATGGCACAGTGACTGTAGGATGGAAATGTTGCCCTTCCTAGTTTCTCCCAACATGAACTTTCTTCCTTTTTCTGGTAAGAAGGTGCTCTCTATTGCAGAACACACATCAATGTGACAGACTGCTCTCTTTTTGTCATGCATTCCACCATAGTTCAAACTTAGCCACCTTTTTGCTTCTGTATATACAGTATACTGTTATTCTAGGTCAAAGTAAAGTATATTAGGACATTTTCCTTCTCTGGTCCTTATAGCAGCAATGCCTTCCGAGTAGCTTAAATCTCTTCTCTTTCATTCTGGTATAAGTGTCAAGTACGCCAGTAACACAGTATCACCATTAGCACATATGCCACTAGATGAGAAACATTCACTTAAATTGTATGTGAATGTTATTTACATTCTATTCTAATTTGGAAAAAGGTCATATATGCCTTCATATGTGACAATGAGGATCACACAAGACAATTTTAAAAAGTGTTTAATTTACCTTTCATGTGAAACTGTTCAATTTGAAAGCACTTATTCTATTATTTACTGTAAAGAGAGGGCTAAGAAATTGACAGTTCCCACAGGTCTGAAGCTGATGAATTCATCTACAGATTTGATATACACCATTCTTGAAAAATGTGAAAGATAGGCAACAATTTGTGAAACAATGTAAAAATGTTGAATGAAGTCTTTCAAATCTGGATAAAAATCATGTTTGAGGCCCCTCCCCACATTGGCCAACTTCATTTGTTAAATGTAAAATACAGAAGGAAATTTAAACTACTTAATAAAAGTTCAATTTCAAAATAGAATTCTAATACAGAGGTGCAGGAATACTCACAATTGTCAGAACATCTAATTGCTCCACAATGTGTTCCAAGGCATTAGTCAGTACTGATGAAATGCCCACAGACTCATCCATGGTTTCTGGTTCAACCACTGTGCGCACCATTTCACCTTTCAAATTTCTTTTCAACATTGATGGAGAAGATAACATGGAAGGATGCTGCAAGTCTTCATTGTTCACCCCATTTTGGTGCATAGACCAATGGGCTACAGATGGATTTGTTCTCAACTAGATTTAGAGAAGAAAACAAAGCATATTTATGATAATATCTTCAGCTTCATAAGTTATGGGTATCCATTTTCTCCTACTAACAAACACATATGATAACAGGTGCTATTTCAACTACTACTTTTCTACTGCTGATTTTGGAAGAACATCAGAATGATCTCAATCTTCTATTTTATTTGTTTCATTTTTTTCAAAGATCTTGAGCAACTCACACTATTTTTGTTTTGTCCTTCATTGTTTTGTAACTGATATGTGTCCTGACATCGAAAGATCCATAGAACTAGTTTGGCAATGTGTCTGAACTTTCACCTTCTATAGCAGGGATGAAAATCTGTGGTTGTTCGCAGTTTGTTCATCTACAACACTGGAAGCATTGTCAATCGTGAGGAATGTTTCAAAAGAACATTTACTCAAAAAGTGTCTTGTTCTCACAGAATTCCCTACCCCTTCCCCAAACAATTTTCGAATCTGAAAAGTCTATTCAGAAAATTACAACACAGCCTTGAGTGGTATATGGAACTTCTACGGTTTTAAAAAAAGAAACAATGAAGTTTAAAAACTTCACTGGGCATGTCCAAACTTTCTGTACCTCAAAGATAGTTTAACAGTATTCATGGATGATGGAACCTGTAGGTGCAACTTTACAACTACTGGCTTTTGACATATACAAAAGAAAATTAAACACATAAAATTTAGCTTCTGTAAGTTAAATTATAAGATCTCTTTTTTTTAAAAAAAGAAACTCTTAACAAGAAATTATTGCTACCATATAATTCACTATTTAAAGGGAACAAAGTACAGTGTTGTCATTAACAAAGGCCACCTTTGTTAAATATAGTGCGCTGTGTTTACATAAAATACATGCAAAGCTATGCATAAAATAGGCATTCCATGAGAGCAAGTGTTTACACTTACAGGATAGGAATGGTGAAGTATCTTTGAAGCCCAAATTTACAGAGAAAGGAATGATGTAATCTAGAAAAATCTTGCAGATAAAACAAGATGACCCAACTGATAATCAAGCGCTAAATTATATTAAATACTGCTAGAGTCCAAAGAGAAAACACCCTCAACTTTAAAAGTTACCAATCTGTATAATAATACCTTTTTTAAATTTATTTGAAAATATTACATTTTTAAAAAAAATTGTACTGCAATATACAAGAAAAATGACAAAACTCTCTTTAATCTTTGGCCATATTTTTCATAGTAATACATTGAAGACAGTTTCATCATTTCATTAAGAGATATATTTTATCTTGATATTTACATGGTTAATGACAGTCTTAAGTGCAAACGGGCTCGGACTATCCTATTTTTAAGTACTACATGTTTCTCAATGACATGATTCATTGCAAAGCCTATCTATGAAGCTTTGCTTATCATGAGATAATTCTGTTATTGCACAGGAAGTGGAGCTCTAGAAGCTGTTCAATTAATTATTCTTACTGTCAGAAAATTTCTCCTTGCTTCCAGATTGGATCTCTCTTTAATGAGCTTCCCTGCATATTTCTTGTCTACCTTCAGGTGCTTCGGAGTACAAGTCAATCCTTCCTCTCTATGACCACGACTCTCCACTGAACTGCATCTTGTTGGATAGGGCCCAATGTTCAAGTCTGTCAAGATCCTTCTGAATCATGAGTCTATCTTCCAAAGTGTTGGCAATTCCTCCAGGTTTGGTATCATCTGCAAATTTGAGAAGTTCTTCTATTCCTTTATCTAGAGTGTTTATTAAGATACTGAAGAACACTGGAGCTAAGACAGAACCTTGAGGTACCTCATTACATGCTTCTGTCCATGTACATCTAATTCCATTGAGGATTACAAGCTGAGTGCAGTTGGCCAGCCAGCTGCAAATCCGTCTGGTAGCGGTAGTGTCTATCCCACATTGTCCTATCTTACCCATGCTGGCTTCTAGTGATCTTTTTAAAGGATTTTCCCAGGTATTGATGTCAAGCTGATTGGTCTGTAGTTTCCTGGATGTACTTTTTTCTTGTTCTTGTAGATGGGAATATCAGCTTTTTTCTAGTCCTCTGGCAGTTCCCTTTATTCCAGGAGCTCTGAAAGATTTTCTTCAATGGTTCCGAGATCACATCTGCCAGCTGTTTCAGTACCCTAGGATATAAACCATCTGCTCCTGGCAATTTGAATTCATCTAAAGTGTATAGTATAGTTTTTTAACCAATTCACCTACTTTGATCTGCATACCTGTTTTGTCTCCCACTGTCCTGCCTTTAATGGTTATATACAGATACAAATAATAATCCTAAAAGAACCTAAGTTCTCAATTATAGCTTTTGCACCTCTTCTTTGTTTATTTATTTCTTGCTAAGGGTGACAGTCAATTTAAATTTAGGAAAATGATGGCATCAAATAACAGCTACTTCTTTAACACACCCAAGAACTGCTTTACTTGAAGTAAAATTTATTTTTACCTTTGCAAATATTACAGGCGCTGCTTTTTTATACTGAGCAGATGTTTTCCATGATCATTTCACAACTAACAATTCTTTTTTATATGACCATGTAAGTTGAATAAAATGTTATTTTCACCTTTCAGTAAAACAGGTCTGGTTAAAGAAAAAAATAGCACACATTCAGGATCTAAAATTGACAAAGGATTTAGAGCACGGTTGTCAAACTCGCCATGTCACGTGACATGTTGCGATGTATCGTGACTCTTTTTGAATTGCTGGCAATGGGGTAGGCGTGGCTTTGGTATGATGAAACCAGCCCACGGGCCGGCAGTTTGGCACCCGTTTTAGAGTTTCAAGGTGATAAATTCCTTATCTGGCAGTCAATTCTAAATTATTGCTACGGGAAGGCAGAAGAGCAGGCAGGATAGAAAGAAGGAAGACATATAGGCACTTTCATAAACTAGAAGTATTCTTGTGGAAAGCACAGGTGCTAAAAATAGAAATTCCAGCTCTAAAGAGAGAAGAAATAAATATTTGAATCCAATATGTGAATACAAATGGTTAAGACTGTCCCACTAAAATAGTCCCACCTTTATAAGCGAAATAAAAACTGTTTAAATTTGCAACGTTTATTTTTCAGACTATATTGTATATGCTAGAAACATTGCAGATCTTATAATAAAGCCGGGGTGTCAAACTCAATTTCATCAGGCCGCATCAGCATTGCGATTGCCCTCGGGGGGGGAGGGGGGTGTCGCCAGGGTGGGTGCGGCCTACTGGGTGGGCGTGGACTGGATGGGTGTGGCCTATTGGGTGGGCATGGCCAGCTCTACATCGTTCATGTCAAGGGTGCCTATGGGGGCCTGGGCAGGAGTGGGACAGATCTGAGGGTCTCTGGCAGAAGGGGGTGGGACCAGGGCAAGTGCCAAGGCATGGTCCACTGGAGAAGCCTCACCGTTCCTCTCAGACCATGTGGGGGGACTGGATGGTGGTGCGGGCTGCCCAGAGCCCTGGACAGCAGAGGTCAAATGCCCAGCCTGGCCCTTGAGCACCCGGAGCACCAAGCCCAGCCCCTCTTCCCCAAGGGGGCGCCCAGTTGCACTTACCTCCTCCTCAAGGCTGCTGCTGCTGTGCTTGCTCTCCACAAGTTGCTCATGATGGGTACGAGGGCAAAGTCAGAGGGAGGCCCATTCCCTCTCCATGGGAGGAGACTCGGCTTTGTATCCAAAGTTTCCTTAGCAATAGGATGGGAGACCCCCAGGATAGGCCAGGAGGAGGGGGCAAGGGGATGGTAAAAGGGCAGCAGGGCAGGACTTCCCTCAGACCCTCCCTCTCCTTCTTTCCTTCCTAAGTAGAGTGGTGGGAAAATATTTGAGATGAGGGAGAAAAACAGGCAAAAAATGCAACTGGGAAGGTGTCACCCTTTGTGAGGAATGAAGAAATGCACCATCGCCTGGAAGTGGCCAGCAAATGGCCCTGGCCTACTTCACATATCCGGCTTGATGAGCTCTGGGGGAGTGGTTTCAGCAGGCAGCGGGGCGCTCTCCACAGTGCCGAGAGGTTGAGCCGGGCGGTGCGAAGCTTGCCAGCTTTGCATCTTGCTGCCTGCTGAAACTGGGCAGGCTGGGGGCTAGGCAGCATTGCACTTCTCATCAGTTTTGCGCCACTGGCTCAGCTCTTGGCACTGTGAGGAGAGCGCCCCGCTGCCTGCCGAAACCAGGCAGGCTGGGGGCTGGGCGTTGTCGTGCTTCTTATTGGATTTGTGCTGCCCGGCTCAGCCTCTCGGCGCTGTGAGGAGAGTGCCCCGCTGCTTGCCGAAACCCCTCCCCCGGAGCCCATCAAGCCAGATATGTGAAGTAGGCGAGGGCCATTTGCTGGCCACTTCCAGGCGATGGTGCATTTCTTCATTCCTCACAAAGGGTGACATCTCCCCAGTATGCACCCAGGGGGTGGGGCTGATGCAGCAGGGGCTGTTTCCTCGCTGTTTCCAGACGGTCTTGTGGAGCTAAAACTGAATGCGTTTCAGCATAGATGGCCATCACAAAATTGTACATTGGCTCCTGGCTGGCCTGGGCCAGGGCCAAGGCAGTGGGGGCTATTATCTCACTGTTTCCAGGATGGCTTCACAGGCCACATGAAACCACTTTGTGGGCCGCATCCAGCCCCCGGGCCTTGTGTTTGACATGTCTGCAGTAAAGCAACTTCACAAAGATGCCGAGTTTTGTAACATCCATACCAGACTGATGCCCTAGCAAAAATATTTTATTTTTATTTATTTTTCAAATCTACATAGCCACCCATCTCACAAAATAAGTGATCCTAAACTGTGTACAACTAAGCTAAAAAGCAATAATAAATATTATTATTAAAAAGCATTAAAACTATAAAAACACAGTTAAAAAGGAAACAATAGTCAAAGGGCTCTTATAATGGAGCCACCTCACTAGTTCACCAGTTCCCTGGAGTCCTCAGATCTGATGGTACAGTACCATTACCCAAAATAATTTATTTTATTTAGTTAATATTTTTATCCCACATTTATTTTTATAAATAACATACCTAGTATTCCTTCTTTCTATTTTC